TATCTGCATCCAGAAAGGGGCTTCTGGGCGCTTAAAGCGGGAAATAAATCTATCCCGCGGCGAGTCCCCGAGATCGCAGCAGCAAAGAATCTAAATTGCGGTTGCCGTTGTAATCCATCGTTGTCACCCGCGCGAAATAAATGATATCCGTAATTGTGCCCTCCGTACACTTTATTAAGCCGGCCATTGTTCGTTGCCGAAAGTAAACTGCTCGGCGGTGTGTGCGTGTGCGTAAGTGTGTGTGTGCGCGCGCGTGTACGTTCTCGCCGGAAGCATATTTCGCGCCGAATGCGACCCGTCTGGAAAGACCGCCTTATATTAAGCGACAAATACGAATTTCTCGCGGAACGAGCAGACGATCGCGCACTCGACGACACACACAGAAAAATACATACTGCGATAAAGTAAATGTTATTTGTCGTTTCAAGCGTTTCATAAGTTTATATATCTGTAAATTCATCATAAGTGCATCATATAAAGCATTTAATTTCACATTAAACAGATGATTTTACATAGCGTTAGAAATACAAACAAAGACATCTCACAAAAAATGGAGGATGATGCGGGTGATAGGAATTCTTTTACGATTCCTTATATTGCAAATGTTTCCGAGGGAGTTTCAAGAGTCATAAGAGATTCGGGTTATAGAGTGGCTTTCAGTGTTACCAATAAGCTTAACGTCTTCATTCATGGCCAAAAAGACCGTTTAAGTAAAAAAGAGTGGACCCATGTGGTGTATAGGATTAATTGTCGTGACTGTGATGCCTCTTATGTCGAACAAACAAAGAGACAACTAAATACGCGTGAAGGAACATCGCTCACATATATTGCGTATTACTATGCAACTATCGCCTATTATTGACCATAGATTACAACACAATCATGAGTTTGATTGGGATAATGTGGTAATTTTGGACATTGAACCAAATTATCATAAATTATCATAAATGTCTTATTGCGGAAATGATCCATATCAAGAATCAAAATAACGACTTGAATTTGCAGTCGGATATGGAAGCGCTAAGTAATGTTTACTTTCCGCTTCATAACATGATCCGTGACCTATAATTTGGTACCTTATTTATTTCTATTCAGAATATGAGTGGTTTTGCACATCTTTATAACGGAATATTTGTTTCTGAAGTTAAGCAGTTTTCAGTGTGTTTAGTCTGTTGACTGTTGGGTTGCTGAAGCTCTCCTACGTTTCACATCTTTGGTGAGAATGTTTTATTTTTTATTTTTTATTTTTGAGACTCTTTTTGCCTTTTGACTTTTTAGACATTCTCAATTTATACGGTTTTATTGTTATATGGTTAGCTTGCAAACAAGGATGTGACGGGGTTTTTACTTTCATAACTATTATGAACGGATTGGGAACCGTTGTGAACATTCCTTATTGACTATGTTTACGATCAGCAACCGCGAAGAGGACCACATCCAATGGTCGAAACGTTCGGCAAATTATATAATAAAGTTTAATTGATCTATGTAACACTGTTGCGCTTGAAACTTACATTTTATTGTCCTTTTTATTGTTGTTATTAATTTGAATTTCCCAGAGCCGGTACAGTTTATTAGATTTACATCCAATTTTTATTCAAAATACATGAATCTGATAAGTTTAGCGTCTCAATAAAAAATATCGGATTAAAACCAAAATTTGGTTTATTTAATATCGGATTAAAACCAAAATTCGGTTTATTTACTTAGAGACAAATCAACTTTTTCTTCGATGAAGTGTTATAATATTCTGTTAAAGAGAATAAATTCTTTTCTTGAGTAATATGATAACGAGCTTCGCTAAAATTCTTGACGAATGTATTTTAAGACTATTAACAGGCAATTTCTTGTTAAAGATAACCATCACTTAAAAGAAGGAAAGTAAACTGAGCAATCGGTTTTCTTGGCAGTAAAACGATATTTTTCTGTGTGCACCTGGGATGCTTTTACGGACTTGTTCGGAATTGATTCCTCTCGGAGTAACGCCGTTTTCCTTAGAAAAGATAATAGAAATCTAGAGGACAACTGAATTATTCCGGTCGGAATCGATTCCAAATAAATCCGTGATAGTAGCCCTGATGACGATCATATTTCGCGACGCGAATCGACGCTTCCGCTGACGGACGGTCATCTGTTTGTGCCTTCGTGGCGATTTTGAGAAGAAAGTCGTGGCGAGGAGCGTGAGCCGCGATAACTCCGGCGTGAAAAATATCTTGGCTGCCGCGGATTACTGTAGCGATAATAATTCCGTAACTTGCAATGCACTTTCGGCTCGGCGCTGTGAAATAATGGTCGCCGTGCTAACTTCGCGTTACGTCAAAAGTTCCGGCGAACGTTTAACATACGCGTCCGACGCTATTTATGGGCCATGAAATATTCCCGCGTTATAATTGCGCCTTGAAGCCTGAATTCATAATGCTCATTCTCCTCCGGCGCTGCACTCCCGCCCTCCCTTTTGTACCCCGCGGACACTTAAAAAGGAAAGATATGCAAAGGGCATTAAATAAATTTACACTCTCGGAGGCCCTGCCCCGCTCCGGTCGTCGCGTAAAAGTGCACGTGAACCGATTAGTTTCGTTTCCCCTCTTTCTCTCTCTCTCTTTCCTTGAAGTCGGATTTGCTCTATCGCGTGATAAATCGCAAAATTCATTTGTAATTTTTACGGTGACCCTAATGAGAGACTTTCGTGCTCGCGTCCAAGACGCTTTCTTGTGTTTTGCACTCGGAAGAAGTGACCCTGCCCCTCATAAGGCAGAAATTTTATTATCACAAGCGCCTAACGATATGTCGGTTAATGTTGTGCAAATCTTGAGCACACAACATGAGATTCATTAAAGAATTAATTAACGCGGAATTCGTGCTTATGGTAGTTTTGACCGCGAAGAAAGGTTTGCGATCAAACTGCGAGGGCGAGTACGTTTATTGACGAAGAAAAAATCGCGACGATATCGCGCTGTCGTGAAGAGACCGGCTTGGTCGAGAATCGCGCGATCCTGCCGGGAAATTGGACCAGCCGGCGACCGCGTGCTTTTCTCGCGCTAGTTTATCCCCGGTGCTTTTAATTTCGAGCCACCGAGCTCTTTATACCCGCGAGGGGCATAATTATCCACGAGAGAGCGGAGGGCCGGCATTGAATATTTTAGCTCTCGCTCCTCGCACGCCACCGTCGACCTCCGTTTTTCCTCCCTCTCGCGCTCCTTCCTTTTCTCCTTTGTGTATGGTTTCCCATACTAACACTCCTCGCGTTCCGTAACAAAAATAAAAACGGATAAGTGAAGAAGCGATGCGAGTGGTTCGAAGAGCGAGGATGGAAGGCAGGCGGGAGCGCGGGGGCAGCAGGTTTCTCTCGTTCAAGACCTTCGCCTATCCTCCCTCCTATTGCCCCTTACGAGACTCCGGGATTAGGTAGGAGAGTTACGTCAGGCATTTTGCGGCCAGCTTTGCATAAGTTTCTCGTGTCTCTCGTTTCCCTTCGTTAGCGTTCTCCCGTATATATTCCGTCTCTCTTTTGTTTCGCGATTCTCTGCCCGCCCCCCGTCCCTTCATCTTCGCTTTTCATCTCGTTCGGATGCGTGTGCCCGATAAAAATACAGAGCCACGCATTAGCTTCCACTAATCCACGATAGGCTAACTCGTCACGTAGCCGCGAAAGTATGTTCCATTCACCACGTGACTGATTTGTATTTCCGCAAACAGCAGTGTTGCAATGTTAAAAACCATCACGGTTTATGTGAGGAATGGCTTACGCAAATGAGAGATCAAAGCACCCTTTGGAGCGATTGCGCGTGATAAAATGTCCACATGGTTCGTTTACAACCTCCGAATTAATGTCTATCATGTCAATTATGAGAACGAAAGAATTACGTGTAATTAACGTTGGACGATATCGCGTGTCATTCGGGGGACTTTGAGGTGAAAAGCGTCATCATTTTCAAGTCGGCAAACCCCCAATTTATCGTTATCATTAACGTGAAAAACGATCGCGGCGCAATGCTTACCTGGGCGGGAACGCGAGGTGTCGCGTTTCGCCGTGTTACAAAGGTTAGCATATTCATTTTCATCGTCACAGTTAATTTCAGGAGTGGGCGGCCGGTGAGAATAAATTGCATCAATATGCAAATAGTCACCGTTCGTAATCATTGTTGTATATTCCAATGGCATTCGTCCGCGCTGTAATACCGTTATACAGCTTAAACGAGTGTACCGGTTACATTCCCGTGCCGTTGTGTGATTGAATTTATGACACAAGCCGTCCTACGCACAGCACTTCGGTGGAAATGTTATCGCGCGACAGCGGCGAATCGACAAAGTCATCACTCGGCTATCGGAACAGAGATAGAAAGAAAGTGTGCGAAGTGATCTTCGGCGAGTTCATCTTTACAGGCCGTGCACGTCGGATATAAAGTATCTCACGTTGTTGGAGCGGAGAAAAAACCGGAAGATCTGTCTTTCGTGACGCGTTTCGCCTCCCCCGAACAATTCCGCGCAGCCGGTGCTCAAGAATGAGGTATAAACCGTTGATAAATGATCGCGGCAGAAAGAACAGCCTCGTAATTGTAGTCTTATTAATGGCTCGCAACTGTACGCTGTAACGACCTGTAGCTATAACACGCATCTCGTTTGTATCTCGCGACTGTAATCTGCCAATTTACGGCGTGAAATCGCTCATAGCACGAGAACGCGCATGAAAGTGTTTAAACAGCGAGCGTGCGAGGAACAAAGCGCCCAGGATAAATCCCCGATTGCTTCGGAAATTAATCCGTGGAGATTAATCGGACGAAGCTAAATTGTTACAATTATCCACTCGCGAGGCGCCGAGTAATTTTTGCTACGAAATTCGCGGCCCGCGCGGATCTCGTGCGCGGAAATTACATTTTAATCAGATCAATTGGATATTAATGGTCAAAGAGTTCGTTAGAGTAGGAGCAAAGACGTCGACAGGGATGACGTTTACGGCGGCGACACGCATTTCCTTCGATAAATCTAGATTGCATTTTCAGGATGTCCCGGGGCCAAGGGGGATGGTCGGACGAGCCCTGCACGTCGGGTAGCGCGAGTCGTCGCGGCGGAGCTCGCCAAACGGCGGGACCGTCTTCGCGGGCGCCGACGTCGTCCGGGTTGGAGGAGCGCGCTTCGGGCAGCACGCCGTGTAAAGGCGGCTTCAGGTTAGGAGTCTACGGTTGGAGGAAAAGATGCCTCTACTCTCTCGTGTTGACCCTCATGATCATCGTAATCCTCAATCTCGCCCTCACCGTCTGGCTACTCAAGGTCATGGGATTCAGTTCCGTAAGTTGACGAATTGGTCGGCATCTCTTCGACACGCGCGTACCACCGTCGCGCTGATAATCGCGATCGAGTATTAAACTCGTCGAGACCGCGCGCGTCCGTAACTTCGGTCTGATGAACGGAAATACGGCGTTTCGCCCGCCAATCGATGCGAGAATTCCGTGCGTCCGAGTTCTCATCATAAATAAACGTCGTATCGGCTTATCCGCTCACGGAAAAATAAGGTTGTAAAAATTTGGTTGGATTAACCTAATTGCCGGTGAAATATGAACGAGCCAGAAATTCCGGTTAACTTTACCAGCATTCTGTTCGATTTTGCCAACAAGATTTCTGGCTAACTCGAACAGAATTCTAGTGACTCTGACCGGAATTTTTTAGTTCGTTTCCTCAGAAATTTGGTTAATCCAACCAAATGTTTTCGCCCCGTGTAGAATGAGGATACACATTGTGCACGGCGAACACGTAGAAACGCACTTCCGGAGGAGTCCAGAACAGCCCTCGCCAGCTAGGGTCTCTCCGAAGTTCGATCTGGATAAGGACGTATGTAACTTTTCGATAGTCATTAAAGTCGACTTCTGTGTCTTGCGGCTTGGAATTAGTTTCGCGCGAGTTTCCGAGCTCGAATAACAGGCCTCGACGAGGGTGCCGGAATATACGCGAATGGTGCGCGGGTGGATGCATCGCCGACGGCTTTTGAGGCCGCGGTAGGGGTTGGCGCGCCAAGGTGGTTAATATAATTCGCCGTAATTGCTGGAACCGTTATATCGGCGCCACGGTGTTTCCGTCGCGGAAAATTGTCGTTTGCACTTCATACTTCTTCTTCTCCCGGACTTAATTCGGGCGCATTACAATTACCCGTCCCCGGAATCGAGCGGGGTTCATTAGTAAGTAAGTCGGCAGCGTTCGAGCATTCTCCCTCGCTCCTCGCAATCCCGGAGAAACGCGGCCCGTACCAACTTCTTGATTGCGATAATGGCTGTAATGTAAAGGTCGTTCCGATGTAAATGTCTGCGTAAGGCGCGCGCTTGGACCGAGATACGACTTTCTTACGACCAACTTGGCGGGACACACTCGGCGACTTTACACGCGGCGAATGAATGTCGCCTGGACCGTTGATATTCCGGTAATGCGAACTTTAATATTCTTGTCGGAGAATCGTTCGGATGACATCTGCCAAGTAATCTCGTAATAATTTTATGTCATACAACGTAATCAGCGACGCTGTACGAAATCGTGACAACGTTGTGACAAATATCGCGACAATGTAATTTCTTCCTCGACATCGTCGCTGCGAAGCGCAAAACAGCGGCTGCAGCTCGCACAATGTACCTCGCAATCACCCGTGACACAGAGTTCCGGTTCGATTCATGCGCACACAGAGAGGAGGAGGAGGAACAGGAGGAGGAGGAGGAGAGGGAGGAGGAGAGAGAAAGAGAGAAAACGAGAAAGGGAGAAAAAAAGAGAGAGATATCCACATAAATTCTTCCAATTCATTTTATCACCCCCTTGCATAATCGTATCGACTCCCTCGCCTTTCTGCAAATCGACATTCCCACGTATCCGCTACAACAATGCCGTGGACTCGTCGACGTTAAGCCGGCGCCTAGTCCCCTCGATTAAGGCAAGAGTGCTCGTGAAACTCCCGCACCCTCGTGTCTTCCGCGCCAACCGCCGGCGCTGCAGCTACCTATTCGCCATTATCGAATTTATTCGAAATCGAAAGGAGCTCCCGCGATCTGGCGCAATGATCCCTCGATGGGGGCTAAACTCGGTGGAAATTGAGTATCAATCCGTAAGTAAGGAGCCCGAGAGCGGCAGGGATACCCCGTGGGAAATGTAAGTCTCTGCCACTTTTTCCCCCATCCTCCTTTCACCCTTCTAGTCTACTCTCTTTCTCTCTCTCTTTTTTTCTCTCCCCTCTCCCTCCTCACACACACACACACACACACACACACACACACACACATTTTCTCCTTTACTGTCTACTCTTTTCGCTACCTATTCCGTTTTACGCCCCTTCTTTCCTCTGGCCGATCGTCCACAAACTTCTCCTTTCACCCCCGCGTCTCTTGTCTCCCACCCTCTCTCTCTCTCACAGTGATTCTCTCATTTGATCTCCCAGCCGGTTTTTCTCCAGCTCTTCTTCTCCTTTATCTCTCTCTCTCCTCTTTTTTCGACATTCTTCAGTGCCGCTAATGCCGCTCGGTTTGCCGATTCGTGCCGAAAACTTCTGCGACTAACGTGTCGTTCACTCGCTCTTCCTTCCTCTTTTACTCGCTTGTCGTAAGTCGTAATTAGGTCTTCGGTAATTAAACTCTCGCTTATCGACGGTATTCGCGCCGATAACTCATGTCCGATTAATTGTGTGACTCGGTAAATCAGCGAGACAATCAATTAGGAGTTTGGGCGCGTTAATTATTGCGCGGTCTGGCTGGGGGGGTTGCTCCGATCGAGATTTACGACGATTTCGATTCACGAGGAGGAGTCGGGCACGGCGCCGGCGGCGCGTAATCGACGCAAGCCGGATATCCAGTTGGAAAGTCGGATGTAAAATTCGACGAGTCTGCGGGAGCCGGGCGACGGGGTATAGATAGAGATACGGCTTATGCGCGATGGTTTCGTATTCTCGCGACGTGGCGCGTAAGGGGTAAGAACGCGATATCGTATCGCGATGTACGTGAAATTTTCTGCGTAGGAGGTGGATGGGATTTAACGCATAAACGGACTGACCGAGCGAATTGAAACTGCGCTATAAAATACGGTACAACTCCGCCATACTACCTCGCACAATTTTCGGACTGTTTCGGAAGAAATGACATTTCGCAAAAACGTAACAGGAAAAGATATATCGATAGTATAACGTCTCAAACAATATCGCGCTAAATTGATATTGCGCTATGCTCGTCAAATGTATATTATTGAAAGTACTGGCAAAAGTTTGATATTTGCAACTATAATTTAGTAAAATACCCAAGTAGGAATCGTATACGTTTTGTCAATACGGAAAAATGGCTCGATACCGAAAAGCGGTTTTGGTACTGGCTCAGTACTGAGCCTAATATAAAAAAAACTGTATTATTGGTACTGGCTCCGTACTAAAGTTAGGTACTGGATAGTCGTACCGTACGTATACTAGGACGTTACCGAAAAGTGTTTGTCGTTTTCGGTACTGGCCCAGTATTAAAAAAGCGGTACTGGTCCTGTTCGTAGAATCAGTACTGGATACTCAAGTAAGAATTGTATACAATCTGTCAATAGAGGATATTGGGCCAGTATTGTGCCGGTACCGAAAAACGGACGATACCTAACTTTAGTACGGAGCCAGTACCAATAATACAGTTTTTTTTATATTAGGCTCAGTACTGAGCCAGTACCAAAACCGCTTTTCGGTATCGAGCCATTTTTCCGTACTGACGAAACGTATACGATTCCTACTTGGGTATTTTACTAAATTATAGTTGCAGATATCAAACTTTTGCCAGTACTACCAATGTCCTTTATAGAAAAACGGAAGAGGTCACTAACGCGAAACCAAGATAGCTCAGTGATAAGAAGTTTGCCTGACAAGCGGAAGACTCGAGTTTGATTCCAGCCGTCGCCCCGAATATTTTTTCCTTATGACTATTAAAAATAAACTTGTATAGGTACGAGAGCAAGCCTGTGGCCATGGTCTGATCTTTCTTTCCATACTATAGTTGTGATATTAACAATTGTACAAATAATAAAAATTACTAGAAATAGATACTGGTCCAGTACTGGGAACAGGTACTTTCTCAGTGATGAGAATAAATATTTTTTTTATATTGGTACAGTACTGATTTTCGGTGACAGTACTGTGACAGTAGTTTTCCGATACTGGCCCTTTTCTATTATCCCAGTGTCACACCAATACTAAACCCGTACTGGCACCTGGTATTACGCCAGTAACGTTTACCATAAATCGGTACTGGGCCACTTTGATGCCAGTAGTAAATTCCTACTTGGATAACCACTATGAATTATGGTCAAGAAAGCCATTTTATTAATTCTACTATAATGTTAGTGATAATGACCTTCTATTAATTCTACTATAATGTTAGTGATAATGACCTTGTTTACATGTTACTACCGTATTACTACCGTTCCACACTACACAAAATACTGCTAGGATAAAAAAGAACCAATTTTAATTAGATCAACCATTTCTTTTTCTCTCAGTCTCAAAATACGAGATGAAATCTGACACTCTACACGTTTATTACGTATTATACACATTTTTTTACAACGTACAAAGAAAACGAGAGAATAAAAGAGCATCTGAAATTAAGAGTACTTGCATTTTTCAAGGCAATCAACCGCGCAGCACGACCGCGAGTTTGGACATGCGAGGAGAAAACGAGATATTCCGCGGTATTGCCAGAGATGTTGAGAACTAAACGCAACGGTGTTCTGCGGTGTTACACAAGTTGCTCCGCGGTATTATTTCTCCTCGCGAATATTACAAAACTAAGAGAACAAAAAACTAAGATTCGTCTTGACAACAATGCATTGATAGTTCATAGTGATTTCACAGTTGATCGAGATAGAGAAATCAAATGGTGACTATAAACTATTGTTTTCTCCTGCGTGACGGTTGTGAAGCGCTCTGTATACCCGCGTACCGCGAGCAAAGACATAAAGGGGTGTGACTTTTAGTAACTCTCGCCCGTTACTACGTGTAAAAACCGGCGTGATACAGACGCCGCTGAAACCAAGAGTTCAGGAGCGTTATGCAGAGAAGCAACTCTCTTTCTTTCTTTCCTTGGAACACAGTTGATACTCATCCAAAAGTTTCCCGCCCCCCTATACAAGGCGTGCTAGTTGGCTGAAAGCGCGATGCATTCGCGAACCAGGAAATATTTCATGCCCTCTCCACCGTCTTTATCCACCCTCCCTCCCCGTCCCTTCATATTTGATAAGAGTCTCGGTATGCCTTCCACTGCCTCTTTTCACTCTCGAGTTGCCTCGCGTCCCAGCCAAGC